AATGAGATATCATCTCACACCATTAAGGATGGCTACCATCCAAAAGACAAACAACAACAAATATTGGCGAGGTTGTGGAGAAAAGGGAACCCTCCTACACTGCTGGTGGGAATGTAAATTAGTTCAACCATTGTGAAAAGCAGTATGGAGGTTCCGCACAAATCTCAAAATAGAAATACCATTTGACCCAGGAATTCCACTCCTAGGAATTTACCCTAAGAATGCAGGGGCCCAGTTGGAAAAAGACATATGCACCCCTATGTTTATTGCTGCACTATTTATAATAGCCAAGAAATGGAAGCAACCTAAGTGTCCATCAGTATATGAATGGATAAAGAAGATGTGGTACATGTACACAATGGAACATTATTCAGCCATAAGAAGAGAACAAATCCTACCATTTGCAACATTGATGGAGCTAGAGGATATTATGCTCAGTGAAATAAGCCAGGCAGAAAAAGACAAGTACCAAATGATTTCACCCATCTGTGAAATTTTGATTTCCAGATAAGAACAAAGAAAAAAACTGAAGGAACAAAAACAGCAGCAGACTCACAGAACCCAAGAATGGACTAACAGTTACCAAAGGGAAATGGCTGGGGAGGATGAGTGGGAAGAGAGGGATAAGGGGAAAAAAGGGACATTATGATTAGCAGACATAATGTAGGCAAGGAGCACAGGGAGGGCTGTACAACACAGAGAAGCCAAGTAGTGATTCTGTAACATCTTACTAAGCTGATGGACAGTGACTTCAATGGGGTATGTGGGGGGGACTTGGTGATGGGGGGAGTCTAGTAAACATAATGTTCCTCATGTAATTGTAGATAAATGATACCAAAATAAAAAAATTAAAAAAAAAACAGGCTGCTAGAAGTCAGAATAACAGTTATGTATCAGTGAGAAGCTGCTGGAAGTGTGTCCAGGAGAGGGCTTCTAGGAATTTTAATGTTTCTTTTGCTGACCTGGAAACTGATTACATGGGTGTGTTCTTTGTGAAAACCACATGAGCTATACACGTATCATTTGTACACCTATAGACATGTATTACACTTCAATTAAAATTTTTTAATGTAAAAAAAAAATGTCAGTTAGTCACAGCTCCTTTTCTTAAAGAAATCTTTTAGGTACTTCCAAACCCAAAAGGTATCTCATCTTGTGATAGGATTTTCTACCTACATGCTGCCTAACCGCTTAGAGTTTCAGTAATTTCTATAATAATTTTCAAAGACAAATGCAATGATTTGTGATTACCAGATTTTCTTTTTCTCTAAGACAATTTTAGGTCATAATAAATACTCTCCAGTTTTCTTTGGTTACAGAGCTTTGCACAATGTTCATATTTGAATGCAAATCTTGTTCTGTCATTTGAAGTGAGTATAGAGTAAAAGATCATTTACAACTTCATGTTTTGAAGATGTTTACAAGGAACACTAATGAACCTTCCCAAGAAGCGTAATACAGTGAGTTTGTCCATTGTGAATAGTAGTATACAGTGACCTGTTATCTTAAAAACCAAGTATAAACAATCATTTTCTTTCTTAAATACCAGTTGAACAAAGAATGACTTATCTTTCTCTCAGTGTTGCGTAATTAGATATATCATTATTTTTACAATTGAATAGGATTAATCTTTACCAGAATAGAAGAGCGTCATATTCAAATAAGAAAGATGCAATTCAGAGAGTGAGAAAACAACTTTATAAACAAATACAGAAATATGTCAGACCAAAGGAATAAGTATTCATTAGAAATTTTTCTCACATTTCTAATTGGGTCTGATGGTAGTACAATTATTTTCTAAAGGTACACAATGTTTTTGGACAAATCTTTATATATCCACTGTTCCCCAAAAACTATGGGAAATAATATTTTCTACCATAAACAAAGATAAAAAAATAACTGGTTCATTCACAAGTCCCCCTTCTTCCCTCCTGCCAGTGGCCCATCCAGCATGAGTCTGGTTATGGCAGAAAACTTGAAAAACAGCTGCAACTCTTTCTTACTGGTTGCTAATTGGTCCACAAAGAGCTTACCTGGAAATCAAAATTCCTCTTGTCATGATGGTCAAACTGTTCTTTTGCCTCACTGAATGGTTTGCTGTGGTCTAAGCAGATTGCAAATATATTTGACATGCTTTGTTCAGGCAGGTTTGTTACTGAGCAATTGTAACTGCTACTTTAAGGATTTTTTGTTAAGTTTGTTTTGTAAAAAGGTGCATTTCTTACTTTGTTATTAAAAAGAAACCTTGATATGCTCTGCACACAATCAAAGTCATTTACATAAAAGGACAAAGGAAAAAAGCACCCCATATTTATTTCCTTCAGAAAAATCTTCAAACATCTTCAAAGGAACTATTTTTTTTTAATTGGTGATAACTCGTGAGTGCAAATTAGAGCAAATGGTAAATGACTGAGAGACTGTTCTTTCTGATTTTCTGTTGTTTTTTTTTAAAGTTAGTAATAGACAATGTAGCAGGAGAAAATGATCACTGACTTTGAAACATTTCCCTGAAATAAAGCAATGAGCGAGTTGACAGACTGCAAGCAGAATCTGGGACAAACATTAATTTTTCTCACTCTGTTTCTTTTTATTCTAGCAGCACTTTCTAACAATGATCTTCCATCTGCTCAAGAGCCATCATGCCCATGTATCATTGTCTTCCTTTGGGCTGTAGTTGCAAAATTAAAACAGAAGAATTTGACATTGTAGGTAGTGGTTGTAAAAACCTTATGTGTCATCAGCAAGGTGGCTATAGAAGAGATTTTTTCAAAGTCTTAAACAGAAATTTAGGTAATTTTTAATTTTTATTTGTGGGTGTTACCTATGTATGTTTTTCTGTGTATGCTTGGTGTTATATGTATGTGCACACGTGTGTGTACATCATTCCTAATCATTATAAATAAAAATTACCTCTTTGGGGGTAGAAGGTTAAGTCCCTTTCTACACCTTACACTTAGTTCATGCTTGAATTAGGTGTCTTATTTCCTTGAGCAGTACATAGCATGTATTTTTTTCTTATTTATGGGATGATAAAAATGAAAACAGCAAACTGGAGGACTGTTCAAGATTCCCTTCGGCTTCAGTGAATGCCTTTAGCTTTAAATATGCTCTTTCGATTCTGGCTCTGGGAGATAAGGAGGAGACACAGTAGAAGGAATCAGAGCACAGTGGATCTTTTTTAATAATGGGGATCAAAAATGATGACAACTGGAGAAGAGATACATGTGGCCCCAGGACGGTGGGGCCGCTCGCGTGAGGCTCTCTTGTTCTCTGTCTTCGGTCCCGTGAGCACCTGTACACACAGCCCATGAGGCTCGCTCACTGTGGTCTGTCTCAATCCCTGTGGCCTCTCTTCTTCCTCAGTGTAAGTTTGCCCTCTCAACTAGGTATTTTTCCTAACTAGAAACGCACACACTACTAGCAACATGTGTAGTCTGAAGCCGTGGTCCCGTGTCTCCTTAGAGCAGGGCCGTGGGGGGTCGATAAAGTGGATCCTCTTCTAGGGTAAATGGAGGGGCCTCTCTACTAAAAGCAGAGTTTGTCATATGAAACCCTGTGGATATTGCTGCAAGCCCTATAGCCATGAAATGACCAAACTATTTCAAAAGACCCAGTCTAGGGAAAACTAACTCATACTACAGTCTCCATGAGGGATGAATCAATGCCAGACGTTTTGTTGATGTTCCTGAAGCATTCACTGATTTGAAGCAAATTTTGTTGGATACAGAGAGAATGGTGTTTAACTGCGGGTTGGACATAAAACCCAGAAAGGATAGGGAGACTTTACTTCCTTTTGACCAAGAAAACCAAGACTCACTTGTGGCTTGGGCTGTAAGTAAAACAGAATGTGACAAGAACTAGAACTAGATTACCAACAAAAGCCTGATATTTTTGTTGGCCGTTTCCACATTAAAATGAGTAGTGAAGTGGGGTGTGTGATTATAGTTTGTCTCCTGGGATTCTTTGTTCAGCAATAAATTTGTTTTTGCACTTAAGTGATCTGAGTACCGTTTTCTTCTGCAAAAGAAGAAATGAAGAATGGGGGGAAGCAAGGTGGCTCCAGAGGTGCACAGAAAGTGTTTAGCCCAGAGCCATAGTGTAGAAACCCTTTTTCTTGGGCACAGGATGAGTGAGACACACTCAGTGTATGTTGGGAAATGGTCTTGTTTCCAATGTAGCCCTCCATCTACTTGTGCTGATGGAAGCTCATGCTACTTGCACACACCTCCCGCTGAACTGTAGTTTGAAGAATTACAAATTCAAGTTTGCCCCCACACAAAAAACTAGCACGGGGCAGCAAGGCTACCCCGCTTCAGCACTGAGCAGAGCCGCGGCAGCGTCCGCAGTGCGCAGGGGCAGCGCTGTACTTGCAG